AATTCATGCTGCAGCGGCTGTGGCTAGCTTCATAGGTTGTGTCTTAACCCCTTGCACCACCAGGGAGGCCTCCCCATTAGTCTTTTAAATGGCCCTAGAGAACTTATTTTAATTAAATCTGTCATCAAAGTCATTTTATTTTAAGAGTGTCTCTACCTTTTCTTATCAGTGGAACTTTGCACTGGCTGTGAATTTCTTCTATGACAGAATTCCTTAACTTGGAATATGAGGAATATTAGGTTGGCATAGAGTTTCTTCTCTCCAGAAGGATGCAAGGTTCAGGAAAAGTGGTCTTTCTGACTCTAGCGACTAATTCTGTATATCAAGTTGGTGGGCATGTTTTTCTAAGCCACCCATTTCCCTTCCCAGTGGGCCACCCTCCTGAGTACTAAGGATAGTGGCGTCTACCCTGGCCTGACTAAGGGAACAATCAAGTAGCCCTGCTCTCAACAAAAAAGATCCATGCCAAGGGACCCCAAGAGCGCTCTCTTAAACATGAGAACTGTCATAATTTTTAATTGTTCCCCTACAGAGAGCACCTCATTTAAGCTCTGCGTAAAGAGATGCCTGTCACAGACTTTTAAAGTCATATGCTGTGTATCACCAGTTGCTCTCCAGAGAGTAGTGAGAGTTACGCAACAAAGATTGCTAGGAAAAGACTTTCAAAACCCAAACTATACTCCTAGATGGCACTAACAAGTACAATTGTTGTAATGTTAAAGGAAATGCAAACTTTCTCCCAATATTTCTTGGATATTTGCTGAATACTAATTTCATTTGATTACATAATAATTTATAGTATCTTGAATAATGTCTTCTATAGAAAAGTAGGTGTATAGAGAAGAACAAAATAAGTCATAAAAATGCATGTCTGTCAATGACCTGTATTTTTTTTTTAAAGATTTATTTTATTTATACAAGAGCTGGGGTACAGGCTAGAGTCATGGGAGGGTGAGAGGATTCACCAGAGACAGAGCAGGGAGCAGAACAGGCAGACGGACTGAAATACACTGCTGAGGAGAGCAACAGGCAAGACAAGAGAGGTCTGCCTTGCCATGTGGGATTTTCCCTGGCTGGCCAGGAATTGAACTGGCCCAGCAGAGGCTGTGGACAGCTTCACAGTGCTGTGCTCAACCCGCTGCGCCATCGGGGAGACCCTAATGACCTGTATTTTATATACTGTATGTATATGAAATATACATATAGTAATATAGTATATATAATGTACTATATGTATATATAGTATAAATTTTGATGTGTACCAACAACTGTAGGATATATATATATTATTTTCAGTCACACATCATTTAAACAAACTGATCATATGTTGGGTCATAAAGTAAATCTCAAAAAAAAATCAAAAGAATAAACTAATTGAAATATTTCTGTAATTACAATGAACTAGGTTAAAAATCAGTAAAAATTAAGAAATCACCTTTGTTTATAAATTAAGGAAAAGACACTTCAGAATAGTTCATGGATAAGGTAATATCAATACATTTTTAAATTTTCTTTTGGTGATGGGAACAGAGGGTATACATTTACTAAATATCTCCATCGTGCAAGGTGCTTTATAATGATGCCTCATTTAACCCACGCAACAAATGTGTGGTGTTACTATTCCTACTTAGATGATATTGTTATTCCGTTTTATAGATAAAGATTTATTATTCAGTTTGGCAGTACATTTCCGGAAGTCACGCAACAATTTGAGGTTCATGTTCTCCTGAGAAAGCCCTGTCTGGAACTAGGTTCTGGAACTAGATTCTGGAACTAGATTCATGAGTCCTCAGGAGTAAAATTTAGAGAATTAGTGTCTTTCTTACCTTCTCCAAAGTCACATATTCTCCAGAGATTCTTACTGCTTTGCACAGGTACAGACTTTGCACAGGATTTGTGAGGAGTTAAGGTCAACTATAAAGTTAGAGGACACAGTATCAATTACTTCTCACATTTCTGAAAACAACTGCAAGTTAGAGGGGGATATCCCTATTCCACCCCCCAGATTTCTGAATTTGCTAGAATTCCCAGAACTCACTAAACACTACTGTACTCCCAGGAAGGGTTACAGAATAAAATTAGCCAAGGGAAGACATATATAAGGAAGGGGCCGGGATAAATACAAAATGGAGAGAGCTTCCACTGTCTTATCTCCATGAACTCAGGCTCCATGAACTTTGGCTACTCTGTGGCCCCCAGGCAAGTAAAATTACCTCCTGGGAGCTGACGATAATAGGTAGATCTCTTGTGACATTAAATTTTTACACCAGGTCCCAGCCTGGTTGAGCCCCCTCCTCCCTCCTGGGCACACAAGTTGTCTTCCACATGGTGGATCAGGATGTCCTGATTACTGAAGCTTTTACTCTTTGGACCCTGGCAAGGAGGCTGAGACATACATGGAATGTGGGCAAGCACTGAGAGAGTACTTGTGTGCTCTACTGTTAAACCTTGAACCAGTGTAGATTGGATGACAATATAATAGCATTTATATATCAACAAAATAAAAAATGACTTACATGCTTGTAGACAAAATTTTCCTAGTATTAAAAATATGCAACTGAAAACATGTATCATTGAATTAATTATATGGAGGTCTGCTTTAATAAGTAAATTATAATTACCCACTTCACACACTAGCAAAATATATGTCATGTATACATCTATATAGCACTATGATAAAATCATATCTCATCCTAACGTTGTTATGAGGGGAATCACTTGAATTGGCAATTTTCCTAAATAATTGCTCATTTATATACAGTCAATCCTCGTTATTCATGATTCTATATTTGGTAATTTTCTCACATGCTATCATTAATTTGTAATCCTAAAATTAATACCTCTGATGCTTTGATAGTCATTTGCCAACATTTGGAGAACAGCGTAAAATTTGGATTTTATGATTTGCATAATCCTAGCGAAGGTAGAATGAGCAACACTCTCTCTTCTCTGCTCACCTCTCATAGAAGTCTGTTTAGTGCCATTTTTTAAATTTTTAATTTTTTTTGGTAATTTTGCTATTTAAAATGGGTCCCAAGCATAGTGCTGAAATGCTATCTAGTGTTCTTAGCCACAAGACGGCTGTGATATGTGCTATGGAGAAAATACATATTAGATAAACTTCATTGAGTTATAATGCTGTGAGTTAAATTTCATGAGTCAACAATATATACGAAATAAGGTGTTTTTAAGCAAAATCATACATAAAACAGTGGAATGTATTAACTGATGAACTGCTGTGAACAGAGGCATGCAGCATGCAGGAACCTAACCTTGTGTTTCCCCTAGGAGTGGTGCTTCAGTGTTCACTAATTCAGTGTTCAAGGTGAATGTAAAATATGACTATCATGAATAATAAGACTAAACTCTATTAGCTGTAATGTTTCATTCATTATTCATGGACTTTTAAAAATTTGTTCTTTAAGAAAACATATTTGAACATTTCTACTGGGTGCCAGACAATTACTACTTATAATTTCCCTTTTGTGTTCTTGTACTTATTTTTGGTAGTCTTGCTGAAGCCCTCTGACTCAAAGCATTTGTGTGATTTATAATGACACTGAAGTGTGAGGTTGCATTTTTTTAATACCCATGTGTTTGACAAATAGACAATTTTTTTAATAAAAGGCCTAAACGGTTATATGCAATTTTTTTGAGTTAACATTGGTTTACAACACTATATATGTTGTATGTTCTATGTTACCTCACCACAACCACAATGAGGTTGCATTTTTTTTAAAGATTTATGTATTTGTGCATACAAGAACTGGGGTACAGGCCAGAGTTGTGGGGGGGGGGTGAGAGGATTCACCAGAGACAGAGTGGGGAACAGAACAGGCAGACTGACTGAAATACACTGCTGAGGAGAGCAGTGGGCAATCCAGGAGAGGTCTGCTGCACCATGTGTGAAGCTCCCTGGCCGGGGATCTAACTCGTGTTGCAGTGGCTGCAGATAGCTTCATAGGTTGTGTCTCAACCCCTTGTGCCACCAGGGAGGCCCTGAGGTTGCATTTTAAAGGCTGGGAGTTGAGTGCTAAATGTTTTGAGTTTATAATCATTTTTAGTTGAGCTGCACATGCTAAATTCAGCATGCTCGTTAACACTTTCCAGCAATTTCCTTGCTGCCTAAGAAACACTAAGAGACTAAGATTTGAGGATCACATTCTTCCATTGGTTGATGTTGAACACCAACAAAGCCTGCTGATGGGTCTGGCCACACCTTCCTATACCGAAAGAGTGCGTCTGCTGTTTTGACTAGATAGCCTTTCAGGCAGACCTTTTGGCTGAAAAATCATTCCTCACCTGTGCTTTACTGCTGAGAAGCCAGACCACGTGGGCCCCTCTCCTTCCCCTGATTTCCTCCATGCTCATGTCTATGGATTTCCATTTCTTTCCACTGCCTCTTCACGTTGTCTCCTACATCTGCACTGAAGTGGAATGAGGACGAATGGACTTGAAGAGCAGATGTTCATCTCATGCTCTGTGGCTCCCTCTTGCACTGAAGTATTCCTCATTTCCTGCTTTTGATTGTCTGGGACATATGAGACTAAGTCTGCATCTTACTGTTCTTCTCTCCTACTGTTAGTAAAACCTGTCACTCTGGAATGCCCTAAATATAACAGTAGAAAATATAAAATGCATTTCCTAAGATTAAATTTTTCTGGTTAGTTTGACTAAAAGAAAATTCCCATGATTGCAGGGATCTTTCAGTGAAATAATCATAGAGTTAAGCCAATGAAACAAACATCATTGTTACCTCATTGGTTGTAAGACTTGAGTGCCAGCAGTAAAAATTACCTGGATGTTAAATAAACAATGATAAATAGTAAAATAAATAAAGTAAGTACCAAGACTTATAAAAACTCTTTGAATGCCCTTTTGTGCCTAGTTTAACACCTAGTACATAGAAACCTCAATATATATTAAATGAATTAATGATTGAAATATCTCATTTAAAATACAAATGTTCAGTAATTCTAATATGATGTTTATTCTTTCAGATACAGATGAATATAGACCTCCTGTTTGGAAATCTTACTGTAAGTATACAAAAATTTAAAATTGCATGAATTATTGTATTTTATAAGTCATACAAAAATATTAGGATCATTAGATAATAAAGATTAATTCCATTTTGTACTCTCTTTAAAAATTAATTCACTTTGAAAAATTAATTCACAACAGGATTTGTAAATTCCAAAGAAGATGGCAATTGTGGGGAAACAGGAGAGCTTCCAGAAAACCTCTATGTGGTTTGTATATCTAATACGGCTCTCAACCCTTTGTACTGCTTGGAATTCCATATAGTGGAACTTGAGGCCACTTGTTTATAAACCTAATGCAAGGAGCAGCAAACTTGAAATTCTGGCAACCTAATTATTCTCACATGCTGATTGTTTATATGAAAAAAACATATAAATGATTAAGTCAGGAGCTATGTTGATAGAATAAATGGGTAAAAAAGATGCAAAAAGCAAAGTAATCTTTTTTAGGAATTGCTTTCCCACATATAAAAGTGAAACCTTTGAATTCTGTTGTGCTTTAAACTTTTCATTCGCATAAACATTTTCAAGAGACTCAAGTTCTTAATCTCTCCCCCCCCCCGCCTTATTTTCTAGAGAATCTTGATTTCATCACATAAAAGGTAGTCCAGATTTTTTATAAGGGGAAATAGGCTTAATATAAACACAGTAGTTTTTAAAATTCTGTGAATACCCTGTTGCAGAGACTAGAACTGGAATTTTTTGTTTTGTTGTGTGTAGAGTTGACCAGGCAGCCTGAGAAATCTGTACTTTAAATACGGATTATTAACATCTTTGTGTTATTTTTCAAAATTTTGGTAGCTGTAGGTTGCTGAAATATGCTAACTTAAAGGATCAGCAGTTCAGGTGGTTAATCGGTTTATGTTCCCAGAACATCAGATAGTTTTATTTTAATAGGTTGCCACTTAAGGTTAATTATGGTAGGCAAACTAAAAACAGTTTCTATAAATACTGCCATGGGTGCTTCCCCCTCACTCCATGCTCTGCTGCCTTTTTGTTTCTGGGGAGTGTAGTGCGATGAACATATGAAAATGACTAATGTTCTCTACCTCCTAAACATTTTGTCTCACAATATCATTGGCTGGACGCCTATTAAAAGTTCTCTGCATTTTTCTGATTTTCAATTTATCTTTGTTCTCTTTGCTTTGATTTATGCCTTGCACAATTTTTATGTTAGAGCATATATAAAGGAAGCCTCAGACTGTTATTGAATCATGGTGGTGATTTTTTTTCCCTGAAGAATATTGATCACTAAATAACAGCATATGCAATTTGTATTTTCTCTGTCTTCACTTGTCTTACAGTAGCTATCATTTGTCTTAAGAAATGGCATATTTTGGTTTTTGGTGACAATACTGTTACCGAGTTTTATAGTTTCTTTTAATTACTTAAAAGCTTGAACTCTCCCCCTCCCCTAGGTAGGAAATGATTAGAGTATACTTAATATTTTGATTATCAGAAAAACCCCCTCCAGTTCAAGGAAATTTTGTAATTAAACTGTGTTTAAACTAAGTGGAAACATCCATATTAAAAACTGGTTATGTGAAATTTTTTTATAAAATGATAGTAATGTCTTTGTACCGTAATTTTATGTGTACAAATTTTGAATAAACACATGTAAAGTTGCATTCTGACAGTGAAGTAATTGTTGATACAGATTTATATACAGCTAGTTGATATGTAATCTCCACTAAGGTATTTATTAATGGTAAGTTATGAAGTTCATCTGTCCAGGGATCTGTGCATTCAATAGGAAAAATTAAAGATAAACCCCTGATATCTTTATTTCATCATCAGAGACTGGAATTTTAAGTAAGTGGATAGTAGGTCCACCCAATATCCTTGATAATCAAGTAATGACATTTTGTTTAATTCATAGGTCAGACTTATATCTTGCTCACAGTTGATAATTGGCAATAAATTCTAACAGTCTTTGGGACTCACAAGTCATAATGCATTTTCCACCCTGTGATCTGACTCAACATGGTAATAAAGTCTGAATGGATTGAGATTTTTTGAAAATCAGATGTCAGTCTACATAAAGAGGTACAAGCAGAATGAAAACTATTCAAAATGTTCTCATCATCCACTTCTATACAGCATTACATCTGTAAAACTAAATGTTTATTTTCATGTTTAAAGTCCTAACATGTTAGGATTCTGTGGTATGGTGGGATCTAAGTTGCTTTTCACAGTGTAATTCTTTAAAGAAACTTATTCTACCAGTGTCTTTATAGTGCTTTTCAATTTTGGTTTAATTGAGCTTCCAAAATTTTTATTTGAAAACCTTGCAAATACAAACCATTGAGGATATATAATTAGCAAGAAATCTTAAATTGAGGATTCTTTTAAAACAAATACATTTGTACTGCTTTTTGACACCTATTGCTTGAATTACAACAGGAACCTTTCATGTACTAAATAAAGGACTGTGGAAAAGAAGAGCTTGAACCCTTTAGGGGCTGACTCTTTCCTATCTCAGAATTGCTTCCTTCGTATCATCTCCTTTAAGCTATAAATATGTATTTACAGGAATTATGAAACTCTCACAATCAAATATGGGTATCTAAAACTATTTTAATTGTATTCCCTCTAGGAGATGTTTGCAACCAAGAGGAAATGCAAAGGAATATATTTCTATCAGTAGAATATTAAACATTACTAAATGAGGGAGTATTCTGTTTAATTTTTTATTTTTAAACAGTAAGGTGGTGTGCTTTTAAAGTATAGCATTATTCTGGTGTTATGTTTTGGTGATGAACTCAGGATGCATTCTGATAACAAATATTACTAAAAGAATTGCCTCTATTTTAATATTAGTCACTTACATATAATAATAGCTGGTCTTTACTGAGGGACTAGTGTCTTATATATACTAAATATGTAAACCTTTTAGTAACATATGAAGTTGACACTACTGTTAAGTCCATTTTACAAATGGGGAAACTGAGGCACAGTATGACGTGGCAGTGGCAAGGCCCTAGTGTTCAGACCCCAGGTGATCTTGTTCAAGAATTAAATTCTTAACCACAATCCTGTATTACCTTTACATCTTTACATAGCAATACAAAACAGTGACGTTTGTCAGTGTGTGTGTGTGTTTTGTGTGTATAGGTGTATACATATATGGTATAATTATATATGTATATATAGTTGCATATATATGTGAGTGAGTGTGAGCAAAGGTGGAGTCTACATAATGATATCCAGTTGAAACCTTTGCCCTTGGTTGCTTGATAATCCAGATGTCTAGATAGTTTGATGTTAGGTTGGCAAAGTACCTAAGTATTTAAATGGTATAGTCACTTCAATATATTTATAATTGACTATATGTAAATAGGTATTAATAGACATAGAAAACAAATTTCCTCTATGAGATAAACAGACACATAAACACACTTTCTAATAATTTCACGTATTCTTTATTTCAAATTAATAAGCCTAAAATGGACAAGAAGGTCATGGTATCAGTGTAATTTTCACTGATCCATTTTCAGATAACCTAAAAATTAACCTAGTTGGCAAGTTATTTCATTATCTGAATTCTTTATTTTACTTTATTTGCTGTAGTTGAATAGATGGTGGCAACTTTGGCCCAGAAATTTTGTTTTTAGGAGAGATTATATTTGTTCCCTCCCCCCCAAGATTTATTTATTTATTTATACAAGCACTGAGTACAGTCAGAAGCTCAGGAGGGTGAGAGAATTCACCAGAGCCGGAGCGGAGAGCAGAGCCGGAGCGGAGAGCAGAACAGGCAGAGTGACGAAATACACGGTGAGGGGAGCAGCGGGCAACAGGAGAGGTCTGCGAGCTATGTGGGACCCTTGCCTGGCGGCCGGGAATCAAACTGGCACTGCAGAGGCTGCGGGCAGCTTTGCAGCCCAGAGCTCAACTGCTGCGCCACATAGATGTTCACAATAGAAATAGTGGAGAAAAAGTGTTTGTTACTTTTAGCCTATAAATCCTAATTTTTGTTTGACATTTTAATCGCTTTGAAACTATGTAACCATTATTGGTTTATATTAGAGACATGCTTTATGTACTATATCCTCAAATAATTGGGGAAAATAAATAAACTATGGTGAACAGGACCAAATATCTAGTACATATTGGTATAAGGTAAAGACATTGGGGTGGATTGTGATTTTTCCATTTGTGCTTGCGCCTGGTTTTTCAGTAAAGTTAATTTACTTTCTTTGGTTTACTTGCTTTGTTCATAATAATTTTGACTTAATAACAAATAGTATTTCATCACAGTTTTCTTGTGAACTTAATGATTCCCAATATATGTAGAAGCTCCACATAAAGGAAACTGACATTTGCTTTCTACCTTTTTGCAGTATATCAGCTGCAACAGGAAGCCCCTCATCCTCGAAGAATCACCTGTACCAATGAGGTGGGTGTAATGAAGACATTACAGTGAATTGTGTCTCTATCATCTGTTTTCCAAACTTTGACCTTCCTCAACCAATGGCTTGGTTATTTGTGGGATTAACCACTTAGGCTAGCTGGCATCATAAAATTGTTACCTCAATGCATTTTTCTTAACGATCTTTTCACTTGAAATAACTGATACTTTTTAATGGGTTGCTTGTAACAGTACAGAATCAGACAGTATAGTTTTAAGTTATGTTAGTATTTCTTCAGTTAATTCAAACATAGTCCATTTTCTATATTTTATTCTTTACTTTGTAAAACAAAGCTCGAAGACATCATTGTGGCATTATTGAAGTAATTTTTCCATTAAAAAAGTTTTAATCATGATTTTAAAAATCATTCTGAAAACATGGAGAGTTCACAGAAAAAGATATGACATGATAATATATAAAAAGATGTTCAGCTTCATTAGTAATAAATGCAAATTAAAATGAACAGAGAACCATTTTTACCTTTCAGATTGGCAAAAATTCAGAGGCTTAGAATATAACTAGTTAGCAAAGCCTGCTTGGAAATAGACACTCATGGCAATGTGTAATGCTCCAATGTCATGAGAAAGCTCTTTCTGCATTTACCCTTTGACCTACTAGTCCAAGCTAGAGGGATGTGTCTTGTTTTTAGGAATTTACCAATAGAAATATGGAATCCTGTCTGCTTTACCTTTTTCATTGTAGGATTATTTGTAATAGACTATTGGAAAAAACCTTGATGTCTGTTGATAGGCTAATTGAATAAAAATTAATACTAAACAGAATAAAGGTTTCTGTGAGCTGATATGGACTGATAGCAGTTATGGTTCATAAAAAATAAGGAAAATACCCTTATTGTACAAAGAGACTTCTCTGAGGATAGGTTTTCACATAGTTGTGACTTTTGAAATATGAAAGTGTTTCGTGCATTCAAATAACAAAAGGAAAAAAGCGAACCTTAAAGTCAAATGCAAATAAAAATAAATATACTTAGCAAATTCATAATGTAGTTACCAAAAATTAATGTATGTAGTCTTAAAACATATTAATCTGACTGCTCAAACTTGAACAAAAATCTACAAAAAGATGTTGAACTACATTTAGTAGATTTGTTATAGGTAATAGTAATTTTGTAGAAATTCTGTTATTACTTTGTGTGCCCTATGGGATTGAGCAAATGAGTTAACTTTGAGGTTTTTGGGGAACCAGGGTTATTAGGAAATAATGAATGAGGGAAAATAATATATACATTGTGGTATCAAATTTTGATTGGATATTAATATGAACTCATAGATTTAAAAAATGTGTAGTTTTTAATCACAGTTCATGGAAAGGACTTAGAAGCAATTATGCCGCAGTAAGAATGAACAGTGCCCAAATAGGACAAACTGATGTGTATCCTAAAGTGATGCAATGAGACATTTACAACATCATCTGTATGGTATTTCTGCCAAAAATGTTTAACTTAATTCTGTTTATGAAGTATGACTCAGACATTCAGAATGTGGACGTTCCGTAAGACCGCTGTCCTGGGTTTGTATATAATGTCCTTTGTGTTCAGGAAGTAACAGTGGTGGGATCATTCTAAAACAGAGACCAAAGAGATTTGCCATCCAAATGCTGTGCATGCACTTGATGGGATCCTGGATGTCTGTCTGTCTGCCCATTCAACCATCCTTCTATATTTTTTAAAATGCCTCACATTTTGGGAGCAGTTGGAGAAATTTGAATATAGACTTTATATTACAGAACATGGAATCATGATAACTTCATTAGATGATACACTATTAAAAAGAATTAATTCTACTTTTAAAAAAATGCTGAAATGGATTTTGGCATTGTGACATCTCTTTTCTAAAAGCATTGAATAACCCTGAAAGTATATAATTAGCCACAAAGAGAACCACTTTCCAAAAATAGTCTGGGCTTTGATGAGATTATCTTTTAAAAGTCCTGTTGCAGTTTAAATATAGCTGGATGTCCAGTCTCCACATATGTATGGATGCGGTATGTGGTGCTTGATGATTACATTTTTTTGTTGCCGTGCCATGATCAAGGAGTATAAAATAATTTTACATGTAAGAGGTTTTAAAGTTATTTAATAGAATCTTCCATTTTTTATTTATTTATTTTTTTTAATTAATAAATTTTATTTTTATATTCCCCATACAATTGCAATCCCCCCATTCTGACCCCAATCCCTCCCCTCCCGCCCCCCACCCCCCAAAAAGTGTCTCTGGTTCATAGTTTTTGTTGATTTTGATTTTCACTTTCTTATAGTTATTCATTTTCCTGGTCCTTTATTTAAGTTTTCTAGATCCCTGCTATGAGTGAGACCATCCGGTATTTTTCTTTTTCTTTTTGGCTTATTTCACTGAGCATGATCCCTTCCAGCGTCATCCATGTTGCTGCAAATTGCATGTGTTTATCTTTTTTGAATGCTGAGTAATATTCCATGGTATATATGTACCACATCTTCTTGATCCAGTCATCTATTTTTGGGCATTTGGGCTGTTTCCAAAGCTTAGCTATTGTAAACAGTGCTGCTATAAACATAGGGGTGCAGGTGTTCTTTGGAATTGATGTTTCTGTGTTCTTTGGGTAAATACCTAGGAGTGGAATTGCTGGATCCTGTGGAAGCTCTATGTTTAGTAGGTCCAGAAATCTCCACACAGCTCTCCATAGTGGTTGGACCAGTTTGCACTCCCACCAACAGTGCAGAAGAGTTCCTTTTTCTCCACAACCTCGCCAACATTTGTTGTTGCTAGTTTTTTTCATATGGAATCACAAAAAACCCCGAATAGCCAAAGCTCTCCTGAAAAAAAAAAGAAGGGAATGGAGGCATCACACTCCCAGACTTCAAACTCTACTACAAAGCCATAATCATCAAAACTGCATGGTATTGGAACAAGAACAGACATACAGACCAATGGAATCGAATAGAAAATCCAGAAATAAACCCACAGATTTATGGTCAACTAATCTTTGACAAAGGAGCAAAGACTATGCATTGGAGCAAAGAAAGTTTGTTCAATAAATGGTGCTGGGAAAACTGGGTCGCTACATGCAAAAGAATGAAGCTTGACCACTACCTCACACCATATACAAAAATCAACTCAAAATGGATTAAAGAACTAGACATAAGACCTGAAACCATAAAATACATAGAAGGAAATATAGGTGAAACACTACGTGATTTGCATATCAAAGACATCTTTGCAGACGCATCACCCAAAGCAGTGATAGTGAAGGCAAAGATAAACAGCTGGGACTACATCAAATTAAAGAGCTTCTGCACAGCAAAAGAGACAATAACAAAAACAAAGAGAAACCCCACCAACTGGGAGAAAATTTTTGCACCCAACACTAATGATAAAGGACTGATCACAAAAATCTGCAAAGAGCTGATGACACTCAACAACAACAAAGAAAATAATCCAGTCAAAAAATGGACAGAGGAACTAAAAAGAAACTTCTCTGAAGAGGAAATGCGAATGGCCAACAGGCATATGAAAAAATGTTCAACATCACTTGCAATCAGGGAAATGCAAATCAAAACTACCATGAGATACCATCTTACACCAGTGAGAATGGCACATATTAAAAAAATCTTCCATTTTTTTTTTTAAGCTAGCTGTAGAACTGAAACATCCAGAGGGGAGAGCGGAAGGGGACCGGGCAAGAACAAAGAGGGAAGGACTCAGTGGACAGTGGTGGTGGACTAGTGTGGGGGGTGCACTACTGTGGTGATACCTGATTGGGGGGGGGGGGCGGTCCTAATCTTACTACAATTTAAAAAAAAGTATTATAAAAAATTAAAAATAAAATGTTCACTTTTGTTTAAACTTACAACTTTTTAACTCAAAGTGATATGTTGGCAGTAGTTCTGTGAAAAGTCCTAAAATATTAGTAACATAATTATCTTTATTGAGAAATATCTGACTTTTCCTTTTTCAAAAGAATTTGAGATGAAACAAATGAAAATATAACAAAGGGAATATAAAAAGAAAATTTGAGGAAAATTAAAAAAAAAGAAGCAACAACTATGCCAGTGGATTGCTGTGCTAATCAAAGGTCAATTATTGTGAAAAGAGGATCACAGTAATAAAGTGCATAACTTTATTATATTAAAGCACAAAGCTTTTAAGGATCAGAAAGGTTAGAAGGATTTAGTTTTTACCTGAGCTCTATTCTTTTCAAGAATTATGTAAGTTGCTATATTTTGTGACATCATTTATAATTTATATATAAATAGTGACTAATAATAATTTCACAGCTCATGCAAAAGTGGATGTATGGTTGTTTCTTAAAGCAGGTGGCATAACTAAGGAACAACAAATCAGTGAGACTAATTTTTAAAGGGCTTAAGCAGGTATATTGCCTTCTAGTGATCCATTTTGCTGCAGAGATAACATAAAATACTAAGAAGACTGCATGGCTCTTAGAGTCTCTGAAAATAATTCCTCTTGATTTAGTTTGTGATGTAATTGACTGAATACTGCCATCCCCTGAAAAACTACACCATTGTATTTTATGCCATTGGGAAAGCATTAGGGTAGAGACTTACTTGCCTAAATTGAGGAACCTGTGAGCCATTGTTTTCACTCTAGTTGAATTATCAGTCATATTCCAAATGGCAAATTGATGAGCAAGAAGTGCTATTTGGTATGCAAAAGAATTTACATACTGACTCCTTACACATTTTAACCTTCCTCACAGTGTTCAAAACTGATCATCTATTGGTTACTTATTTAGCTGTTTAATAAAGTTTAAATGTGTGTGAATAAAATAAATATGCATATTCATTTTGGAAATTAGTGATGATAATTTGTTTCTATATTTGATCAGTATCTGTAATACTCAGCATCTTTCTGTTTTCGCCTGATGCCAATTAAAGGGCATTTACCCCCCCACCTTTGTATGAAAAAAATTATTGTGGTAACATCAGTTTACAGCACTGTATACAATTCAGGGGAACAGGTGTACACCTCCTCAGATGTACATTACCATAGCACACTTACCCCAGAGCACCCGGAAGTGTTTGGTTTGGAATAACTGAAGTTTCTTAGGAGTAAAAAATACTAGAGATAAAGATGTACTGAGGAACTGGTTGATGTTCAGCCTCCAATTTTTAAGGGATTGGTTTTGAGTCATTAAGCCCTAAGTAGCCACTACCTTTTATGGGAGTTAAAGCAATAGGATTTAATTACTGCTGAAATGTAGAAAAGAAAGGAGAAAAGTTAAGCAGTAGATAAGTTGATGGTCCTTTTAAATAAAAATTACTGCCCATTGATAAAAATAGGTGCTAATTATAAAAGTGGATTCAGGGACTTGGCAATCAGGCTCTGCATAGAAGCCAAGGGAGATAATACTGAAAAGGACCAGAAAACTGAGGCCAAACTTTGGGTTGCTTTGGGAGCTGCCATATATAACCTAATTCAATTGAGTCAGGCCAAATAGAAAAGGATTAGGCCCTTTTTTCTATTCCTGAGTAAGAATTCAAATTTTACTTCGGGCTTTATGTATATCGTGACCTTAAACACGTTATCTAAGCTCTTGGATACTCAGTTTTTTTCCAAGAACGTGAGAGTGCTAGTACTATTGTTGACTTCAAACAAAATGAGTTTATTCAAAAGCAACACCAAAAAAGTTAGTTTGGAAAGTGCAGTATGGTGGCAAGGCACAGGTGCACTTCTGCTGAATCAAAGAGGGGACAGCTGGTAAGAAGCCTTCCTTCCCTTGGAGCTGGGAAACAATATCACTTCCCATCAGAGAGTCAAGTCTTTTTGGGTCTTGTAGTTTGCTAATTACACATTTGTGCACTTTCTTCTGGCCTCTGGCCTCATTTAAATAGGGTTTCTGTATATTAGTTTTCACACTATCTTTTGGGGATGAAGTAGACTAATTCGTATCTCGTTAAAAGGATCAAATGATCTTCAAATGTAATTAAGACCTAAAGCATTTCGCATGAGCTCAGTAAGTGTAGTCCCTGGTGTTGCTCAGATACATCCTGGGGAAAGCTTTTCCAATCATGTGATTTTGCAGTTATGCCTAGCTTTTTGTCATTCAGGATCCAATTTAAATATCTCAGGACCTTACCTGACCACCCAAATAAGACACTTCATTAGTTTTCCCTTTCGCCTTATTCATTCTTATTTTAATTCTAACAGTTATCACTACTGATTTCCTTGTTTGTTTCTTTGAAATTCTTTATTGTCTCCATTATTATGTCAGTCTCAAAAGAACGTGAATAATGACAATTTTTGTGTGTGATGTGTTTGCTTCCATGTAGGCCAATTCCTATAACAGTTGTCATTCAGCTAATGTTTGTGTCTTGAATCAGTGGGGTAAATATTCTTTATCATTCACTGTAACCCAGTAAATATTCCTTACAATCTATTCTGCTGGGTCTTGAGTTTCAACCAGCATGCTTGAAACTAGTGAAGATAATTGTGGTGAGGGTAGAGCTCATGGAAGAACAAAAGGGCAAGAGGTGTTACCAGGATGGAGACTGTGGGGTAGCAGGAAGGGAGAGGATGGGAGAGAAAGTCAGTCAGTTCCAGCACAACTGTGGCATTAAGTTTGTGGATTGTTTTATTTTTTTTTTTAAAGATTTATTTATTTTTATACAAGAGCTGGGATATAGGCCAGAGATGCACGGGAGGGTGAGAGGATTCACCAGAGACCGAGTGCGACAACAGAACAGGCAGACTGACCAAAACACACTGCTGAGGGGAGCAGCGGGCCACACAGGAGAGGTCTGTCCCACCATGTGGGTAGCTCCCTGGCCGGCCGGGAATTGAACTTGTGCTGCAGAGGCCGAGGATTGTTTCATAGGTTGTCTTAACCCCTGCGCCACCAGGAAGCCCCTTGTTTTATTTTTGGATAAAATATTTGAGTAAATATTTTTCAGATTCATAAAATCCTAAAAATGAAAGATAATTTAGTCCAAGCCTTTATATACACAACATTTTTTTTCTTATTTTTCTTTCTTTCTTTTTTATTTTTTTTTATATTCCCCATACAATTGCAACCCCGATTTTGACCCCATTCCCTCCTTGCCCCGCCCCACCCCCCAAAGTGTGTCTCTGGTTCATAGTTATTTGTTGATTTTGATTTTTTTCTTTCTTATAGTTATTCTTTTTCCTGGTCCCTTATGTAGGGTTTCTAAATTCCTGCTATGAGTGAGACCATCCGGTATTTTTTTTTTCTTTCTGGCTTATTTCACTGAGCATGATCCCTTCCAGCTCCATCCATGTTGCTGCAAATTGCATGTTATATACACAACATTTTATAGATAAGAAACAGGTGTGAGAGAGGAGTGACTAGAGTAAGTGGCACAGTTTGCTGGTAGAACTAGGACTCTAGTCTCTGGCTTTTCTACTTCTTTTTTTTTTTTTCCTTAAAAAATTAGTTTGTCACATATGAAAATGTTATGTTCTGAGCATTTGCATTTTCACAGTATTTTTTTTTTCCTTTTCCCAATAGGTAGAAAACAGACCAAAGTATTATGGAAGAGAGTAAGTATGGATTGTCAAAATATATTTTATAGATTGGGATATATAGGAGGTAAATGGATGCTTTTAGTAAAAATAAAGGCAAGAGGAAAGATGTAATCAAGGTTGAATTAGTTATTTTTCTCATTACAAATGTATTCCAGAGGGTGAAAATAGAGAAAATAAAGACAAGTATGAAGAAAAAAATAACGTGGGAAAAATGTATATGCAATAATGTTAAAGATGCCTTGTAAGTCAATGAATAATCCTAAAGGTATATGAGAAAAATGTGTGTGTGTCTATATACTAGTGTGTGTGTGTGTGTGTGTGTGTGTGTGTATACACTAAGCATATAGATATGCACATACATGTATACATACAATGGTTGAGGGTAGTTTAATCTGTACTTTTATTTTCCAAATTTTCTATCAGTAGTACACATTCTCTTACCAGGGAAAAAATGTAATTCATACTACCCAGAAATAACTAATGTTATCAATTTGAAGTATTATCTTCTGAAGATCTATCTTTCAAATGATTTTTATAGAATTAAAGTATTATGCATACAACTTTAAAGCCTAATGTTCCATTTAATATTGAATGTGAACATTTGTATTTTATGAAAAGTGCTATAATAAATTTAAGTTCTTAATTTCCCTAATTATAGAAAAACAAATATAGCACTTTAAGAAAAAGAATAAAAATAACCTAAAATTTCATCATTCCCCAAATAAAGTAATTTTATGACTTAAAAATTATGATATAAATAATGTAGATACTGTATTTAATTATTTCAAGATCTCTGTAAGTTCTCTTTGTGAATGAAACATAGGACCATCTGAGTTGAGGGGTGGATGATTTCAAATTTAAGAACCACTGATGTTCTTTATGGTTTAGTCATTCATCTGCTTTGGGAATTTAAATTGCTTTTAAAATATACTATTAAAAGTAATAAAATAGATCTTAGTGCATAAAGCTTTCTTAAGGGTGGAAATTTTGGGTTGGCTAATATGAATAGTTTTAAGGCTCTTTAAATATCATTGTTAAGTTCTGTTCCAAAATCTCTTTCTTTGGTGGGATTTTCTTTTAAATTGAGTTTTTAAAAGCAGCTATTAAAATTTACTAATTTTATTAAGTATTGTCAAATAAGCTGAATATGCCTATATTTTAATTATAGTGGCATCTGTTAATACCAGGGATAGGTTATCACCTACTTGCTTCCAGCAGAGTCAGAGTAGAGCTGGTTCTGAAAAACTGAGGACTATATGGAGCAAAGAAATTCCAGGAGCCCATTGTTAAACCTAGCTGTGCTAATTTCCATGATTTGAACATGCCTACTATGAACTGTTTTAAGACTTAAGAGTTATGTTAAGAAAAAACAAATCATTTCCATGAGAAAAAATTTCTACTTGTTCCCCAGTAAAATTCCTAAATTAGTAAGGTACATTTTAGGGCTTTTAAAGTATGTCATTCCACAGTCAAGTGACTTGTTTCTTTTGTACCCGTAAAACCCATAGAGTCTCATTTGAACAATCAGTTATATTACTTTTGGCTTACTAAAAGGACAGCATGTGTGTGTAAATTCCTTTTAAGTTGTAAGTCATATAATGTGTAAGTCATATAATGTAACATATATAATGTGGTTTTATATTTTTAATATTATCATCGTTACTCCGGACATTTTTTTCTTTTTTAGTGTTTGATGTCAGTGTTATGGATAAACCTGTGTTTCTATACAAAGTGTATTATTTATATTTATTCTTTTTCCTCTTTTTGTCTCTTAATCAAAGATTGGATTTTAGCAGGGAGTGAAAGCAAGTATTACAGTTGTTTGCTTTTGGCTGGCATATCCACTGATGCAGATTATGCACATTATTGGGCAATCATGCCAATTAAGGACAACCCAGGGTCCTGGAAAATTGCCAGCATGGACTCTGAATCAAAATTTTGGAACAGTGCCACTAGTGTGAAAAAAGGAAATAGGCCACATTTCTATATATTTTTCTAGCATGTTCACATGGTCAGATGGCTACATAAGAAGGGCATTGTCCTCTGGAGAGAGGAGGTTGATCTTCCCTTAGACAGATGTGAATTTTGATTCCATGATTGTTAAATGGATTAGATACTTTGGTGCTGTTTTTGTCACCACGGAGAAGCTGACCAGGCCCAAAGAAACAAAAATCTAGTTAAACCCAACTGTTCCCCTTTGATCAAATGGCAGTACTTTGTCTAGAAAAGCAACAGGAGGATGGGGGTGGGTGGGGGTATTTCATCTCGTTTTACTGAAAAAGGTGGAAAGCATGCAGTTTCTGAATGGACCTTGCCTCGTAGGTTTCACGGCATGATCTCCCGAGAAGCAGCAGACCAGCTCCTGAGTGTGGCTGAGGGGAGCTACCTCATTCGGGAGAGCCAGCGTCAGCCAGGAACCTACACTTTGGCTTTAAGGTTGGTCATGAACCTATAATTATAACTGTGCTTCATTTTAAACCCTCTTAATAGAGGGCTTTAAATTTTAAAAAGCATCCAGCATGTAATTGAATTGGTTCTTGTTTTCTTGGGACCTAATTACCATTTTAATAGCTTTGAGACCCTTAAAAATTCCTCATGAATGGTAGCACTCAGTAATTAAGAATTGAGAAACTTTTAAAGCTTTTTTTATAGTAGTTGCTTTCTTCCATTTCACTCTACCCTTTCTTTCCCATCTGTCCTGCTGGGTCAGCTCCCATCTATTTCTTGAATAAGGAAAGGAACTAAGAGAAAAGATCTTTATAACTCATAAAATTAAAGCCAGTGTCATTTTTCTTATGTTGGCTTTTCATTGAAGCAGCTTTTCATGAGAGCTTTTGGCTCTTTCCTATCAATCGAACTCTGCCTAACATTTTGGCTTTTCTTAGTTTACAGTAGAGTGCCCAGAAATATTCCATTCACCCTGCAATAGAAAGAGAACATTAATACGGTATTATGCTTATCCCCTGGGTGTACCTCATGTTAGACCTCCAAACTCACTTCATCTTCACAACAGCTGGATGTAAGGACAGTTATTATCTTTACAGATAGGGAAACTGAGGACATAGAAGTTGAGTAAGTGGGCCATGGTCATACATTTTCTAAGCCTTGTAGCTGGTATTCTCACCATACAATCTGGCTTCCGAGTATGTTCATAATCCCTCTGCATTGCTCCCTCTCAAAAGATAATTATCCATTATCTTTGCTCTTTCCTTTGTTCATTCCTGCATATATTCATCCATTCTTTGGGAAAATCTTTAAAGTAGAAACTTCTAAGAAAGAGATTAAAGAAGTGGCATTTCTTTGGATTGCCACAACAGGAGGACAGAAAGATGATGTGATTGTTTTGGACTCTGTGCTGCCACGTGTGATTTCCTCCGGTCACTTGGGGCTCTCAGTGAGCAGGGGCTGCTCTAATTTCCATCCATAAGATTTAATATTAATCTTTCTGGCAGAGTGAATGGCATTATTCAGTATTATTTCATACTGAATTCTGCACCAGTTGTATACTTGGAGAACAGCTTGTTACAGGAATTCAAAGAAATTTGCTTTTTTATGGCAAATATTAAGTGTAAATCTCCCTTCAATTACTTAATTGTATTGTTTTTGTGGTTTAAATTGTGGTACGGGAGAAAAATAAGGATTGGGAATTCAAATACCTACCTATTTATTTTTCCACTAAGTGAATCGGAAGACGGATTTGAGGCAAATCACAAAATATCTTGAAGCCACTTTTTTCATCTTTTTATTCCTAACATTTTATAATTTTCGGACTCTGTAACAACACATTTCCAAATAGTCTGGTCATCTGAGTGTCTGAGGTCAATAAGCCTTGATATAAAGTCTAGTGGATCAGATTAAGGAAGGGGATGGGAGTGAGAGGAGAGCCCGAAATCTCTAAACACTCCTTTTTTGGAACCCTTTGTTACCATTCCTCCTCCCTTCCTCTGAGATCACATACTCAGCTGCTAAACTAGAATCTGAGCTCAGCTTGCCTCATTGAAATGAACGGATACTTTCCACTTACCATATTGTCTCATCTTATAATATGGCTATCACTCTGTTTTCACTTAATCACGCTATCAAGCACCCTGGTCAAGTATTTAGTTTGAAGGAAAGTAGCATCCTCATTCCTGCCTGCTTTCCCTCTCTCATGCTTCTCATGACTGATTTTATAATCACCTCCCGTCTACTTTGGCCTGGGAAATCCAATTGGAGAAAATGTGAACATTTAACGGGGAGTGCTTTCATGGCTTTCAGTCTTCACTATGCATTCACTACTTTAGTCCAGGGTCCTAAAACTAGTAATTAGTACTTGGACACATGTTACTCCATACAAACTTAAGTCTCAAAATATTCAAACTGAGTTCTTTAGTTGTCCTCCCAAATAGGCTATAACATCAACCTGAGGGAGTGATCAGCAGGTTGTAGTGTTGAGTAGGGCATACAGTTTCAAAGCACACACCTCCCTGTCATTGGCACCGCCCCCTCACTCGAGGGGGTATAGGCCTTCAGTGATGATCATTGTCCACTACAGTGTTACCCAGATGAGTCTATTGTGTGTGTGTGCTGTCACAGTGCCAGATTCTCATTACATGGCCTGCAAAGAATACAACAGATTCCTTGGTTGATGTCTGCCTCTTCAGCAGAATCTTCGGCATCCCATCTCAGCCTGAATTTCATGCTACACCTTGTCTGACTTTTCTGTGTCTGCTCATGTTGACTCCTTGGTTCAGGAGGAATAATTGTTGCTCAGTGAAATTTTGCTGTACAAAAGGTGTGTGTGTAGTTGAAAATAAGATACTAGCCCAGGCATGAGATGCTCACAAAGCATAAAGTGTTTCAAAGTGACTTTGGGATTTTCTTTATTGTTTGGGAAATGTTTAGATAATGGGAAATGAATGAGAATTTAAAACCAGAAAGCAGGGCCTCCCTGTGGCACAGGGGTTAAAGTCTTAGTGCTGTCAAGCTAGTGGCAGCATGAGTTCCATCCCCAGCCAGGGAGCTAACCCTAAGATGCAGTATTAAAACTGCTTGTACTGAATATAAATACACACACATAGAGACACACACAAATATATCCTTTAGCAACAAAAAAGGAAGATAATGTCTCCTAAATCCTTGAAGATTTGACCCTAAATGGAATGCATCAACTTCTTTAAATGATTAATCTGAAGAAGTGGAATTGGTCAGCCTTGGGAGCAACAGAAAGAGAAGTCAGAGGCCAGTGTTCTAGAGTCCACGGTCTGTGGCAGAGAGTTGGCTTGGCTGGCCTAGGCTGTGCTGTCTCTAATGTGGAGATGAATACAAAGAACCGTACAGTCTCCATGTGATTAAATGTAGTCTGTTGGGTTTCTTTGCTATAGGAAAGTACTTTTCAGAGCCTGTTAAGTATTGTTAATAGAATTATTGTATTTCCCAAACTCATTTGATCATGAGACCCTCTTTTCATGGAATCTCTCTGGAACACACTGAGAAATAGTTCATTAAATACGTCTTTTTTTTTTTTTTTAACTCATTTCTTCTTGCTCTGACTCCATGCTCACTAAACAACCTCTAGTTAATGCTTCCAGTGTGGTCTGTCTAAAGGGAGAGAAAACTTAAAATGTACAAATGAGTGTTAAGAGCCTTTGAGTTCTCCTTTTCAGTTAACAAATGAAAATTGAATGCTGGTATCAGGGAGGGGAAGAAAGAAGAAAAAATATCGATCAGCTTTCTTTGCTATGTTCAGATAGACACCAGTCTCCCTTTTTTTTTTTTTTTCATACTGCATTTAGATGAATGGTCCTGAAAGACTTCTTACAAATGTATTAAACTGATCAAGAAAAAAAATTAATCGCCAATTCTTTTTTTCCTTTTTTTCTGGACCAAAAAATATTTACCTCCTATCCAGAATGTTCCAAAACATTTATCTATGACAGCCAGGCACCATTTCTCTGTATTACAAAATTGCAACCTTTTTTTTCTGTCTTTATTTGCAAGCTTGACTTTTTCTTGTGGTCATAGCTTACCCTTTTTTAAAAACCATTTGTTTTAAGGCAACTAACCTACCACTTTACTCATTTAAAGTGTGTAACTTAATGGTTTTTAGTGCACTCACAATATCTGCAAAAAATTCCATTTTAGAACATTCAGTCAAAGAAAATCAATAGCATTTGCAGTTACTTCCCAGCCTTAGGGAACCATTAACCTACTTTTGTCCCTCTAGATTTATATATCCTGGACATCTCATATAAATGGTCAGAAAATAGGTGTTTTTTGTAATTGGCTTGTGGGCCTTAGCATGTTTTCAAGGTTTATCCATGTTACCAATAAGTACTATTTGAATATATTCCAGTACATGGACATATACAGCATTTTATTTATTCTGTAGTTTCCACTTTTTGGCTATTTTGAACAATATTATGTACAAATTTTTGTGTGGACATACATTTTTAGTTCTCTTAGGCGTGTTCCTAGGACCATATTGTAACTCTATGTTTAACATATTCAGGACTGCCAGTTTTTTTTTTTTTTTTTCAAAATAATTTTACCATCTTACAGTCCCACCAGCAATATATGAAGATTCTAGTTTCTCCATTTATCACCAACACTTGTTATCATGTCTTTGATTTAAACTGCAGGTATTGTGTCCCAGTGGGTGTTAAGTAATTGTTTTGATTTGCAACTTTCTCTTGAATGATAAAATTTTGTCCTCAGTATGGTTTTTATTCACTATATTCTGTCTAGTCAAGCTTCGTTTCCCTCTTAAAAATATGCATATATTTTCAAAAGCAATGTGTTTAAAGCACATAAGGTAGAGAACTAAATAAAAGTTTAGTCAAGGATTTTTTAACTTTAATTTTGAAATTAAAACTTAACTAAAGTTAAGTTTAACTAATGTCTCACTACTTCATTTGGGTAGAATTGAGTTTCGGGTACATTTTGGGGCTAATGAAAAGGGCCTTTCATGTGACTCTGGTTATCTACTATGTAAAGGGAAACTGACTGGGATATCTGCTTTAAGGCTCAGAGGACATACCAGGTTCTCTTCATTTAAAATTTGTTTCTTGGCAACCAGATACAGCCCCAGAATGTACTGATAGTGTGTCTCCTTGCCTGTGAATGATTTGGCACACCCAAATATTTTAATAGACTTCACAGTTTTATGAATACAATAATTGTTCACATTCATTAAGTATTTACTTTGCAAGGCACTGTGGTAAATACTTCATGTGAATTACCTTTCAGTATTTTCCAGTGTGGTGCCCACTGAAAATTGTGATATTCTGTAGTACACTGCAGTAAATGCCTGAGGCTGCTTATGGCTAAACGTGACTGGCCTGAGGACAGTAGCTGTGTCAGACCTTCCCAGCCAAAGGCCCAACAAATTTGATGCCTTTTACCCATAACCTGTATTTATTGCATACAGTTTGGAAATCTCATTTTTATCTATAAAA